GAAACCTATTTAATTGAATTCCTAGACCCCAAAAATGTGCACTTTGACACCAATATTATGATTATAGCTCCAACAGAAGAAAAGATATAGGGTCCGGTGTATTAGCGGTTTATTGTTGGCAGCCATTTTTAAAATGGCTATTTAAAAAAATTGAAGGGTGATCTAACTTGTCTCTTTGGATAAAATGTTTCCTATGGCCCTAAGGTACTTCCATGCCAAAGGAACAGTAAATCTCAGTTTAGGGGGAGGGGTGGGGGGTGGGGGGGTAAGTTACCCTATCAAAACTTACATTTTTTCATGAAATAAGCATATTTTACCTCCCACTGTCATGGTATTTAATGAAGCATTGGGTTTTTTACATTGAAACCTATTTAATTGAATTCCTAGACCCCAAAAATGTGCACTTTGACACCAATATTATGATTATAGCTCCAACAGAAGAAAAGATATGGGGTCTGGTGTATTAGCGGTTTATTGTCGGCAGCCATTTTTAAAATGGCTATTTAAAAAAATTTAATGGTGATCTAACTTGTCTCTTTGGATAATTTATTTCCTATGGCCCTAAGGTACTTCCATGCCAAAGGAACAGTAAATCTCAGTTTAGGGGGAGGGGTGGGGGGGTAAGTTACCCTGTCAAAACGTACATTTTTTCATGAAATGTGCATATTTTACCTCCCGTTGTCATGGTAATTAATGATGCATTGGGTTTTTTGCATTGAAACCTATTTAATTGAATTCCTAGACCCCCAAAATGTGCACTATGACACCAATATTATGATTATAGCTCTAACAGAAGAAAAGATATGGGGTCTGGTGTATTGGCGGTTTATTGTCGGGGGCCATTTTTAAAATGGCGATAAAAAAAAATTGAAGGGTGATCTAACTCGTCTCTTTGGATAAAATGTTTCCTATGACCCTAAGGTACTTCCATACCAAAGGGGATATTTGTTGCATGAATTGAAGTTTACAGCTTATTTTTTGGGCTTAGGGACTCTACTATGATGTTTTAGTGGAGAAAATCAAAGACAAAGTCATCATCATCATCATCTATCAAATATATGATATCTATGGAGAAAAGTCTTCTGTGAACACAGGAGGTCAGGTCAGCTCGTTTAAACTGCACACAGTTTTTATGAAAAAATAAAAGACATTTATCAACTGGGGCAAAGTTTAGATGCTGATTTTAAAGTAATGGTTATCAATGGAACCCCCCCCCCCCACACACACACACACACACACACACACACACACACACAGGAAATGAAAAACAGATCATTATATGTCCTTGTTATGAAAGAGAAAGTAAAACTATCTGATTTGAAAAAGCTTGATAAATTATTTCTTATTACCCCTATTAGGGGCAGATTATAGTCTCTCAAATTTGTTAACTATTGAAGCAAAATTTGATAAATTTACTGACTTAAACATCCCTCCAAGTTGATTTTCATTGCAGAGTGAAATAGCGTGATCTCTGGTGAAAACATCACGCACACACAGCCCCCATTGTGTCTCTGCATACATATTGCATGTGACTGAGGTTGCTGTTTTTCATCCTGTCTATTATATAAACTGATTTGTCCGGAGACCTTCGCCTTGCTGCGAGCCAAACCGTGACGTGATGCTGGCTGACACATCATGACGTTCCTCCCCCTCTGTTGACTCGCGGCTCTGTGGTAGAGTCTGGTGCTCTACCTCACAGCCTGCAGATACACAAATATCACCTCACCGTGTTTATGACAGAGGGAAGAACAGCATGAGATGTGAAACATAAAGACAAAAGGTCTGCGGGCCTCCACCCTTATGCATGCTTGGAAAATATGAAGCTTTATTTGAAGTGGGTCATATATGTACAAGAATTTAAAATGTCATAAATTATCTGAATGGATGCCCTTTCAATATTGAAGTTCCTTGTCAGCTGTTGCAAATATATATATATATGAATGAGAGAAAAAAAAGGAAATGTCACAAAAATGGAAACTTCTACAGTTCTTTGGGAAATTTATGAGCATGCACAAGATAGGAAAGATGGCAATCTGCTTCAAAACAGCTGCTAATGCACAAAGATACACAAATATTCTAACAATTAAATTCGAAATAACCACAATTTACACCTTCAAGATGAACCAAATTGCTTGCAAACACAAAAAAGTTCTCTATTTTCACATATCAAAATGGCCTTACTTGATATTAAACATGCCGCCTCACAGATAAGCTCAACCTCGCAGACTTAAGTAGTGTGAACTACCGCAATATTTTTGCTTCCATGTGTCACACTGCGCAGCACCCCAGCAACATGGCGTCCCTAACCAAAGGCAGACATGTATATAAATAAATAAGTTGGGGGGAGATGTGCTATTGAAGCTGTATTACTGAGCTGACAGCTTAAGCTTAGGGAGAGGGAATGAGGGACAAATTTAGCAGCAGATCTTAGAATAACTAGGTGGGGATAAAGCTTATAAAAAGTGCAAATGGCTGCACTTCTGGACGGTGTGCTTAAGGCCCTGAGATGAAGTGCTGACTGTTATGTTTGCAGTTTGGAGGGAGAAAAAAGTTTGATGGAGTAATTTATGCATTTCAAATGTCTGAAAAGTTGAAGAGAGATTACCAGAATCTCCTCAACTGAAGGCTGTGCAGTGCCAAAATGATCCAGTCTGCAGACAAGAGAGCTGAAATAAGACTTTGATTAGAATAAAGTTCAACTGGAGACAAACACAGTTGTTTTATGTGATATTACAGAGTTTAAGAAAGCTGACACTCAGATGAATTCAAAGGTAAAGCAAGAGCCATGTATCTGAGGCTCTTAAGAAATCTGAACAAGGAGGTTTTGAACGAGATGGGTACTACTCACTGTTTCTAAATATCTCTGTTTGTTACGGCCCTGGCTGTACTGTGTTTTGTTTTTAGGGCCCGAGCGTAGCTGCTAAGCAGCTGCGAGAGCCCTGTTGTTCCTAATGAGTTTTTCTTTGTTTCTTTCTTTAGGGCCCGAGCGTAGCTGCTAAGCAGCTGCGAGAGCCCTCTTGTTAGGGCCCGAGCGTAGCTGCTAAGCAGCTGCGAGAGCCCTATTATTCCTGATGGATTCTTCTTTAGGGCCCGAGCGTAGCTGCTAAGCAGCTGCGAGAGCCCTCTTGTTCCTGCATGTTTCCTTCTTTCGTTAGGGCCCGAGCCAGCTGCAGAGCAGCCGGGCGTAGGCCCTATTATTCCCCAAGTGGTTTTTCTTTGTTTCTTTCTTTCTTTTTTCTTTTTCCTCCCCTTTGAACTGGAAAATGGCCCACTTCCCACTGGCGAAAACTCATGAAATTTGGCAGGACGACCGGGCCTGGTGAAAAATTCGATATTCTGAAGTCGCCAAAACAATAAAATGCAAAATGGCTCCATAGCGCCCCCTAAGGTGGAAATTCACACTATTGACTGTCACGCCTGTACGCTTTGTCATATTGACACAAAAATTGACACACACATGTATCTCAATAAGATCTACAAAAAAGTCAGTGCGGCCGTATCTGTCAAAATTACGGTTAAAGGGTTATTTCGCATTTTTTGCCGATCCGCACACATTGGAATTTCGCTAACTCCTCCGAAGGCTTTCGTTCCACCGGCACCACATTTGCTCAGGCCAATCTACACCCCGTGGCCATTAAAAGTTATCAAAATCATGACGCTGCACCCCAAGGTTTAGGTTCTAGGGGGCGCCAAAGATAACACTAAAATCCACATATTTAAAAGTCTTATAACTTTTTATTTTTGTCCTCACTGGCCTCCAAGTTTTCTAGGATGATGCAATGTCCAGCCATCAACACATTTGTGAAGGAATTTTTACTCCCCAAAAGAGCGTTTTCTTCTTTTTCTTCCCCCATGGCAGGAGAAAAAGTCCATTTTTTCTTGTCCCCTAAGGTGAAAATACACATTGTTGAGTGTCACGCCTATACGCTTTGTCAAAATGACACAAAAATTGACACACACATGTAACTCAATAAGATCTACAAAAAAGTCCATGCGCGCGTATCTGTCAAATGTACAGTTAAAGGGTTATTCCGCATTTTTTGCCGATACGCACACATTGGAATTTCGCTAACTCCTCCGAAGGCTTTCGTTCCACCGGCACCACATTTGCTCAGGCCAATCTACACCCCATGGCCATTAAAAGTTATTCAAATCATGATGCTGCACCCCATGGTTTAGGTTCTAGGGGGCGCCAAAAATAACCCAAAAATCCACATTCTTAAATGTTTTATAACTTTTTATTTTTGTCCTCACTGGCCTCCAAGTTTTCTAGGATGATGCAATGTCCAGCCATCAACACATTTGTGAAGGAATTTTTACTCCCCAAAAGAGCGCCCCCCCATGGTAGGAGAAAAAAGTCAATTTTTTCTTGTCCCCTTACATAAAAATACACATTGTTGAGTGTCACGCCTGAACGGTTTGTCATATTGACACAAAAATTTACAATCATGTGTATCTCAATTAGATCTACGAAAAAGTCAAAGAGCGCGTATCTGTATAATGTACGGTTAAAGGGCTATTTTGCATTTTTTGCCGATCCGCACACATTGGAATGTGGCTAACTCCTCCTAAGGCTTTCATCCCACTGACACCAAATTTGCTCAGGGCAATCTACACCCCATGCCCATTCAAAGTTGTAAAAATCATGACGCTGCACCCCACGGTTTACGTTCTAGGGGGCGCCAAAGATGACCCAAAAATCCACATTCTTAAAAGTCATTTTGGCCACTGCAGGAGTACAGAGTACTGCAGTTCTAGGGGGCGCCAAAGATGACCCAAAAATCCACATTCTTAAAAGTCTTTTTGGCCACTGCAGGAGTACAGAGTACTGCAGGATACACACACATATACACACACGCCAACATACACACACACACACACACACACACACACACACACAGACACACACACACACTCAGAGTCTGTTTTTTAGCACCTGCAAAAACATGCTGTTTACATATTTGACAAGAATGCAGAGGCTTCCTTTTGCCCCTGAAAAAAATCAAATTTCAAACACAACTTGACTGTTCATTTCTCCAAAAGACAACCATGAAGCTCCATTTCAAACCTGAAGCAGATAGTTGGTGCATGTGTACAGTAACCTGAGGGGAGTGAGGTGACTATTTCTGAGGAGAACATGAGCAGTGAAGATTCACCTTGGAGCTAGAACAGGGACGTGCACATGATTATACAGGGGCAGGGGCTCAAGTTTTTTCCAGTCATTTATACAATATGGAAATTAATGTGAAATTAAACCACAAATATGTGTGATGAACTGTTTTTAAAACTTAAACTTCAAATAAAAATTGTAAACTTCAAAACATATGCAAATTTTTAACAAAGAACATAGTAATTTACCTCTATTTACATCAAAATGCAGGCAATGGCCCAGGCGTTCTTTGTAAAATTATTTACAAAACACTGTATAGTCTCACAAATGTCACTTTTTATTTATGCCACTACAAAAAAACATGATGTAAATGATGCATGATGTAAAACATGATGTAAAAAACTTGTGTAGATCCTCCTCTATGTCAGTCCATGTGTAATTTTTCCATAATTCTTTGTTTTTTGCAGCATTTTTGTTAGTGTAACTGCAGATTGTGCTGACAGTGTCTATGGCACAAAAAAAAAAAAAATTAAAATGCCTCAACATGAACCCCTGGTGGTCTCTGAGGGTGAAACCTGCTAACTGCTGCAGCTCTGTCAGCTTCAGTCTCCCATGCAGAGCTCTGAGCGCATGTGTGGCTCTGCACCCTTAGCAGCGTTGCTAACTCCTCAGTAAGGAAAGCCTGCTTCATGTCAGAGTCTCTAAACTCCAGAAGAAGTCGATAAAAGTCCCTTTCTTTCTAAAAAAAAGTCGTTAGGGGGTCTGAAAAGTCATTGAATCTAACAACAAAGTCGCTAGGTTTGCAACTACGTGTCCCAGACTGCATCCCTGCTGAGAGTCCCTCCCTCCCTTCTCATGTTGCAGGAAGAACGTAAGCGCCCGCCCCTTGTCAATCAGTCACCATATAATTTTGGATTGGTTGTTGTGGTGAAGTTTTCCACCAATAGGAGAGATGTTGTGGTGTGTTTTTTTTTCTTTTGGCAAGCCTTTTCCGCCTGTAAGACCTGTCGCTAATGTCTGCATGCTATGTTTTCCTGTCTCATACAGCGCGATCGAGCGCCGAACGTGATCAAAATAAGCAGAAAAAAAGTATCGCGGACATAATTTATCATAACTCTGGTTTTATTTGGCCTATCAACACAATTTAAAAACTGGTATATAGGTTGAGGTCCTCACTTTTGAGATAAGTTGAAACGGAGAGTCAACGAGGCTCCGTCTTGCAGCTACATCCGGTTAAATATGTCATGTGACTTGAACGCACACACAGACACACACACACGCACACACACACACACACACACACACACACACACACACACACACACTCAGAGTCTGGTTTTTAGCACCTGCAAAAACATGCTATTTACATATTTGACAAGAATGCAGAGACTTCCTTTTGCCCCTGAAAAAAATGAAATTTCAAACACAACTTGACTGCTCATTTCTCCAAAAGACAACCATGAAGCTCCATCCAAACCTGAAGCAGGCAGTTGGTGCATGTGTACAGTAACCTGAGGGGAGTGAGGTGAGTGCTTCTGAGGAGAACATGAGCAGTGAAGATTCACCTTGGAGCTAGAACAGAGACATGCACATGATTATACAGGGGCAGGGGCTCAAGTTTTTTCCAGTCGTTTATACAATATGGAAATTAATGTGAAATTAAAACACAAAGTATTAATAGAAAGGTAATGACTGTCCTGTGTAGGTGACAGTGATATCCAATAGGCTAGGCACTCACGAGGCTGGCTGTGGCAAGTGTAAGTGAAAGCAACACGCACTGGCAGGAAGAACAGCAAACGCCGATGAAGGAAAAGGGTCTTTGCAGTGATGGGCGTTACCAGAGAGGGCGATGGCCAGAGGACACAAATGGGACGGGAAGGCAGCACGTTGGGGGGGGGGGGGGGACACGGCTCGGGCCCGCCAGTGCCCCAACGGGGTCCTAGTTATTATTTTTCCTCCGCTTTAAACTGGAAAATGGCCCACTTCCCACTGGCGAAAACTCAGGAAATTTGGCAGGACGACCGGGCCTGGTGAAAAATTCGATATTCTGAAGTCGCCCAAACAATAAAATGCAAAATGGCTCCATAGCGCCCCCTAAGGTGAAAATTCACATGACGGCTGTACGCTTTGTCATATTGACACAAAAATTGACACACACATGTATCTCAATAAGATCTACAAAAAAGTCAGTGCGGGCGTATCTGTCAAATGTACGGTTAATGGGTTATTTTTCATTTTTTGCAGATCTGCACACATTGGAATTTCGCTAACTCCTCCGAAGGCTTTCGTTCGACCGGCACCACATTTGCGCAGGCCAATCTACCCCCCATGGCCATTAAAAGTTGTACAAATCATGACGCTGCACCCCACGGTTTACGTTCTAGGGGGCGCCAAAGATAACCCAAAATCCACATTCTTAAAAGTCTTATAACTTTTTATTTTTGTCCTCACTGGCCTCCAAGTTTTCTAGGATGATGCAATGTCCAGCCATCAACACATTTGTGAAGGAATTTTTACTCCCCAAAAGAGCGCCCCCCCATGGCAGGAGAAAAAAGTCAATTTTTTCTTGTCCCCTTACATGAAAATACACATTGTTGAGTGTCACGCCTGAACGCTTTGTCATATTGACACAAAAATTGACAATCATGTGTATCTCAATTAGATCTACGAAAAAGTCAAAAAGCGCGTATCTGTATAATGTACGGTTAAAGGGCTATTTCACATTTTTTGCCGATTTGCACACATTGGAATGTGGCTATCTCCTCCTAAGGCTTTCGTCCCACCGATACCAAATTTGCTCAGGGCAATCTACACCCCATGCCCATTCAAAGTTGTAAAAATCATGACGCTGCACCCCACGGTTTACGTTCTAGGGGGCGCCAAAGATGACCCAAAAATCCACATTCTTAAAAGTCATTTTGGCCACTGCAGGAGTACAGAGTACTGCAGTTCTAGGGGGCGCCAAAGATGACCCAAAAATCCACATTCTTAAAAGTCTTTTTGGCCACTGCAGGAGTACAGAGTACTGCAGGATACACACACATATACACATACACACACACACACACACACACACACACACACACACACACACACACACACACACACACTCAGAGTCTGTTTTTTAGCACCTGCAAAAACATGCTGTTTACATATTTGACAAGAATGCAGAGGCTTCCTTTTGCCCCTGAAAAAAATCAGATTTCAAACACAACTTGACTGTTCATTTCTCCAAAAGACAACCATGAAGCTCCATCCAAACCTGAAGCAGATAGTTGGTGCATGTGTACAGTAACCTGAGGGGAGTGAGGTGACTATTTCTGAGGAGAACATGAGCAGTGAAGATTCACCTTGGAGCTAGAACAGGGACGTGCACATGATTATACAGGGGCAGGGGCTCAAGTTTTTTCCAGTCATTTATACAATATGGAAATTAATGTGAAATTAAACCACAGATATGTGTGATGAACTGTTTTTAAAACTTAAACTTCAAATAAAAATTGTAAACTTCAAAACATATGCAAATTTTTAACAAAGAACATAGTAATTTACCTCTATTTACATCAAAATGCAGGCAATGTCCCAGGCGTTCTTTGTAAAATTATTTACAAAACACTGTATAGTCTCACAAATGTCACTTTTCATTTATGCCACTACAAAAAAACATGATGTAAATGATGCATGATGTAAAACATGATGTAAAAAACTTGTGTAGATCCTCCTCTATGTCAGTCCATGTGTAATTTTTCCATAATTCTTTGTTTTTTGCAGCATTTTTGTTAGTGTAACTGCAGATTGTGCTGACAGTGTCTATGGCAAAAAAAAAAAAAAAAACTGAAAATGCCTCAACATGAACCCCTGGTGGTCTCTGAGGGTTAAACCTGCTAACTGCTGCAGCTCTGTCAGCTTCAGTCTCCCATGCAGAGCTCGGAGCGCATGTGTGGCTCTGCACCCTTAGCAGCGTTGCTAACTCCTCAGTAAGGAAAGCCTGCTTCATGTCAGAGTCTCTAAACTCCAGAACTCCAGAAGAAGTCGATAAAAGTCCCTTTCTTTCTAAAAAAAAGTCATTAGGGGGTCTGAAAAGTCATTGAATCTAACAACAAAGTCGCTAGGTTTGCAACTACGTGTCCCAGACTGCATCCCTGCTGAGAGTCCCTCCCTCCCTTCTCAAGTTGCAGGAAGAACGCGAGCTCCCGTCCCGTGTCAATCAGTCACCATATAATTTTGGATTGGTTGTTGTGGTGAAGTTTTCCACCAATAGGAGAGATGTTGTGGTGTGTTTTTTTCTTTTCTTTTGGCAAGTCTTTTCCGCCTGTAAGAGCTTTCGCTAATGTCTGCATGCTATGTTTTCCTGTCTCATACAGCGCGATCGAGCGCCGAACGTGATCAAAATAAGCAGAAAAAAAGTATCGCGGACATAATTTATCATAACTCTGGTTTTATTTGGCCTATCAACACAATTTAAAAACTGGTATATAGTTTGAGGTCCTCACTTTTAAGATAGGTTGAAACGGAGAATCAACGAGGCTCCGTCTTGCAGCTACATCCGGTTAAATATGTCATGTGACTTGAACGCTGGGGAACGTCAATCGACTGCAGAACCAGCAGACAAAGTAGTTATGGCCACTGAGAGGCACACATTTGTCATATGCTATAATCCTAACATATTTAAATGCTTTTTCTATTTAAACCTAATGGATCTAAGCTTTGACCTTCAAAATTTAGGAAGAATATGTTTTTGCAGTAATGACCCCCTTAAACAACCAGAGGTCCTTTCCTAAAGTTTATGGAAATTTTAGTGAAGTCCTTGGTTTCTTTCCTTGCAAAATGTATAGAAATAATAAAGCTAAATACCATAAAATGGTCTTGGCGTATTAGCAGTGATATAAAATAGTGGTTTGAATATGAATGAGCAACAAAAAAAAAAAGATCAACAGAGCCTTTTTGAGTTGGGATTCTTTCATTATCACACAAAAACAGACATAGACAGACATCTAAAGGGTAAGGGAATGATCAGCCCTCCTAACTCTCAGATGAATCTTCAAAATTCACCTCAGAAATATGCTTATTATTCTTCTCAGAGTACTGCAGGACACACACACACACACACACACACACACACACACACACACACACACACACACACACACTCAGAGTCTTTTTTTAGCACCTGCAAAAACATGTTATTAACATATTTGACAAGAATGCAGAGGCTCCTTTTGCCCCTGAAAAAAATCAGATTTCAAACACAACTTGACTGGTCATTTCTCCAAAAGACAACCATGAAGCTCCATCCAAACCTGAAGCAGATAGTTGGTGCATGTGTACAGTAACCTGAGGGGAGTGAGGTGACTGCTTCTGAGGAGAACATGAGCAGTGAAGATTCACCTTGGAGCTAGAACAGGGACGTGCACATGATAATACAGGGGCAGGGGCTCAAGTTTTTTCCAGTCATTTATACAATATGGAAATTAATGTGAAATTAAAAACAAAGAATTAATAGAAAGGTAATGACTGTCCTGTGTAGGTGACAGTGATATCCAATAGGCTAGGCACTCACGAGGCTGGCTGTTGCAAGTGTTAGTGAAAGCAACACGCACTGGCAGGAAGAACAGCAAACACCGATGAAGGAAAAGGCTCTTTGCAGTGATGGGCGTTACCCGAGAGGGCGATGGCCAGAGGACCCGAATGGGACGGGGAGGCAGCGCGTTGGGGGGGGGCACACAGCTCGGGCCCGCCAGTGCCCCAACGGGGCCCTAGTTCTTCTTCTTCTTCTTATTATTTTTCTGCCCCTTTGAACTGGAAAATGGCCCACTTCCCACTGGTGAAAAGTCATGAAATTTGGCAGGACGACCGGGCCTGGTGAAAAATTTGATATTCCGAAGTCGCCCAAAAAATCAAATGCAAAATGGCTCCAAAGCGCCCCCTAAGGTGAAAAATTCACATGATTGAGTGTCACGCCTGTACGCTTTGTCAAAATGACACAAAATTTGACACACACGTGTATCTCAATAAGATCTACAAAAAAGTCAGTGCGGGCGTATCTGTCAAATGTACGGTTAAAGGGCTATTTCGCATTTTTTGCCGATCCGCACACATTGGAATTTCGCTAACTCCTCCGAAGGCTTTCGTTCCACCGGCACCAAATTTGCTCAGGCCAATCTACACCCCATGGCCATTAAAAGTTGTACAAATCATGACGCTGCATCCCACGGTTTACGTTCTAGGGGGCGCCAAAGATAACCCAGAAATCCACATTCTTAAAAGTCGTATAACTTTTTATTTTTGTCCTCACTGGCCTCCAAGTTTTCTAGGATGATGCAATGTCCAGCCATCAACACATTTGTGAAGGAATTTTTACTCCTCAAAAGAGCGCCCCCCCATGGCAGGAGAAAAAAGTCCATTTTTTCTTGTCTCCTAAGGCGAAAATTCACACTATTGACTGTCACGCCTTTACGCTTTGTCATATTGACACAAAAATTGACACACACATGTATCTCAATAAGATCTACAAAAAAGTCAGTGCGGGCGTATCTGTCAAATGTACGGTGAAAGGGCTATTTCGCATTTTTTGCCGATCCGCACACATTGGAATTTCGCTAACTCCTCCGAAGGCTTTCGTTCCAAAGGCACCACATTTGCTGAGGCCAATCTACACCCCATGGCCATTAAAAGTTGTACAAATCATGACGCTGCACCCCACGGTTTACGTTCTAGGGGGCGCCAAAGATAACCCAAAAATCCACAGTCTTAAAAGTCTTATAACTTTTTATTTTTGTCCTCACTGGCCTCCAAGTTCTCTAGGATGATGCAATGTCCAGCCATCAACACATTTGTGAAGGAATTTTTACTCGCCAAAAGAGCGCCCCCCATGGCAGGAGAAAAAAGTCCATTTTTTCTTGTCTCCTAAGGCAAAAATACACATTGTTGACTGTCACGCCTTTACGCTTTGTCAAAATGACACAAAATTTGACACACACATGTATCTCAATAAGATCTACAAAAAAGTCAGTGCGGGCGTATCTGTCAAATGTACGGTTAAAGGGTTATTTCGCATTTTTTGCCGATCCGCACACATTGGAATTTCGCTAACTCCTCCTAAATCTTTTGTCCCATCGGCTTCAAATTTGCTCAGGTCAATCTACACCCCATGGCCATTCAAAGTTGTACAAATCATGACGCTGCACCCCACAGTTTACGTTCTAGGGGGCGCCAAAGAGGACCCAAATATCCACATTTTTAAAAGTCTTATAACTTTTTATTTTTGTCCTCACTGGCCTCCAAGTTTTCTAGGATGATGCAATGTCCAGCCATCAACACATTTGTGAAGGAATTTTTTCTCCCCAAAAGAGCGCCCCCCCATGGCAGGAGAAAAAGTCAAGTTTTTCCTGCCCATCGCTCAATGGCTCAAACGCATCGCTCTCTCTGCAAAACCGAAAGGAGGAGCAACTTGCCATTTGGATATATACTAGCTGTGTTTGTGCCCTCACTCATGGTCCAGACTTTTTTCAAATAGGACATGTAGTTTGTCTGCAGCGAGCGTTTTGGTAGAAACTGCGCCTCCCATTCATTATAATGGGAAATGACCACAGACAAGTGCGCACACCATCTTTGGACCTTGAGTGTGACGCGATCGGGAGGGGGAGGCGGTCGCGCTGGGGGCGGCGCGACGCGGCTCGGGCCCGACAGTGCCCCACCGGGGCCCTAGTTCCTGATGGATTCTTCTTTCGTTATTTTTCCTCCGCTTTAAACTGGAAAATGGCCCACTTCCCACTGGCGAAAACTCAGGAAATTTGGCAGGACGACCGGGCCTGGTGAAAAATTTGATATTCTGAAGTCGTCCAAACAAAAAAATGAAAAATGGCTCCATAGCGCCCCCTATGGTGAAAACTCACCTGATGCCTGTACGCTTTGTCAAAATGACACAAAATTTGACACACATGTGTATCTCAATAAGATCTACAAAAAAGTCAGTGCGGGCGTATCTGTCAAATGTACCGTTAAAGGGCTATTTCGCATTTTTTGCCGATCCGCACACATTGGAATTTCGCTAACTCCTCCGAAGGCTTTTCGTTCCACCGGCACCAAATTTGCTCAGGCCAATCTACACCCCATGGCCATTCAAAGTTGTACAAATCATGACGCTGCACCCCATGGTTTATGTTCTAGGGGGCGCCAAAGATAACCCAAAAATCCACATTCTTAAAAGTCTTATAACTTTTTATTTTTGTCCTCACTGGCCTCCAAGTTTTCTAGGATGATGCTATGTCCAGCCATCAACACATGTGTGAAGGAATTTTTACTCCACAAAAGAGCGCCCCCCCATGGCAGGAGAAAAAAGTCAATTTTTTCTTGTCTCCTAAGGTGAAAATACATATTGTCGAGTGTCACGCCTGTATGCTTTGTCATATTGACACAAAATTTGACAATCACATGTATCTCAATAAGATCTACGAAAAAGTCAAAGGGCATGTATCTGTCAAATGTACGGTTAAAGGGCTATTTTGCATTTTTTGCCGATCCGCACACATTGGAATTTCGCTAACTCCTCCGAAGGCTATCTTTCCACCGGCACCAAATTTGCTCAGGCCAATCTACACCCCATGGCCATTAAAAGTTGTACAAATCATCTTGCTGCACCCCACGGTTTGGGTTCTAGGGGGCACCAAATATAACCCAAAAATCCACATTCTTAAAAGTCTTATAACTTTTTATCTTTTTCCATACTGGCCTCCAAGTTTTTTAGGATGATGCAATGTCCAGCCATCAACACATTTGTGAAGAAATTTTTACTCCCCAAAAGAGCGCCCCCCCATGGCAGGAGAAAAAAGTCCATTTTTTCTTGTCCCGAAAGGTGAAAATACACGTTGTTGAGTGTCACGCCTTTACGCTTTGTCATATTGACAAAAAATTTGACAATCACGTGTATCTCAATAAGATCTATGAAAAAGTCAATGGGCACGTAAGTGTAAAATGTACAGTTAAAGGGCTATTTTGCATTTTTTGGCGATTCGCACACATTGGAATTTCGCTAACTCCTCCGAAGGCTTTCGTCCCACTGACACCAAATTTGCTCAGGCCAATCTACACTCCATGGCCATTCAAAGTTGTAAAAATCATGACGCTGCACCCCACGGTTTACGTTTTAGGGGGCGCCAAAGATGACCCAAATATACATTACAGTAGACAAAGTAGTTTTGCCCACTGAGTGGCGCCAAAGGGACTTGTCTGTGGAGTCTGTGAGTCACTATTGGCCGTTTTTGACTACTTTAGATTTTACCTTTATATTTCCTCTTACAAAATTTTTACCTTGCCTTGCCTGGTATCATTTTTTTCAGCACAACCTCATCTGTGTCAATTTACAGTTATTTTATCATTTTGACAAACTATATTTACACATTGGACCCAAATTCACACACAAAACATAAAATCCGAGTGGAAAAAAGTAACGTTTCTACTGTGAAAACCACAAATATGTGTGATGAACTGTTTTTAAAACTTAAACTTCAAATAAAAATTGTAAACTTCAAAACATATGCAAATTTTTAACAAAGAACATAGTAATTTACCTCTATTTACATCAAAATGCAGGCAATGGCCCAGGCGTTCTTTGTAAAATTATTTACAAAACACTGTATAGTCTCACAAATGTCACTTTTTATTTATGCCACTACAAAAAAACATGATGTAAATGATGCATGATGTAAAACATGATGTAAAAAACTTGTGTAGATCCTCCTCTATGTTAGTCCATGTGTAATTTTTCCATAATTCTTTGTTTTTTGCAGCATTTTTGTTAGTGTAACTGCAGATTGTGCTGACAGTGTCTATGGCACAAAAAAAAAAAAAATTTAAAATGCCTCAACATGAACCCCTGGTGGTCTCTGAGGGTGAAACCTGCTAACTGCTGCAGCTCTGTCAGCTTCAGTCTCCCATGCAGAGCTCGGAGCGCATGTGTGGCTCTGCACCCTTAGCAGCGTTGCTAACTCCTCAGTAAGGAAAGCCTGCTTCATGTCAGAGTCTCTAAACTCCAGAAGAAGTCGATAAAAGTCCCTTTCTTTCTAAAAAAAAGTCGTTAGGGGGTCTGAAAAGTCATTGAATCTAACAACAAAGTCGCTAGGTTTGCAACTACGTGTCCCAGACTGCATCCCTGCTGAGAGTCCCTCCCTCGCTTCTCATGTTGCAGGAAGAACGTAAGCGCCCAGCCCCTTGTCAATCAGTCACCATATAATTTTGGATTGGTTGTTGTGGTGAAGTTTTCCACCAATAGGAGAGATGTTGTGGTGTGTTTTTTTTTTCTTTTGGCAAGCCTTTTCCGCCTGTAAGACCTGTCGCTAATGTCTGCATGCTATGTTTTCCTGTCTCATACAGCGCGATCGAGCGCCGAACGTGATCAAAATAAGCAGAAAAAAAGTATCGCGGACATAATTTATCATAACTCTGGTTTTATTTGGCCTATCAACACAATTTAAAAACTGGTATATAGGTTGAGGTCCTCACTTTTGAGATAAGTTGAAACGGAGAGTCAACGAGGCTCCGTCTTGCAGCTACATCCGGTTAAATATGTCATGTGACTTGAACGCACACACAGACACACACACACGCACACACACACACACACACACACACACACACACACTCAGAGTCTGGTTTTTAGCACCTGCAAAAACATGCTATTTACATATTTGACAAGAATGCAGAGGCTCCTTTTGCCCCTGAAAAAAATCAAATTTCAAACACAACTTGACTGGTCATTTCTCCAAAAGACAACCATGAAGCTCCATCCAAACCTGAAGCAGGCAGTTGGTGCATGTGTACAGTAACCTGAGGGGAGTGAGGTGAGTGCTTCTGAGGAGAACATGAGCAGTGAAGATTCACCTTGGAGCTAGAACAGAGACATGCACATGATTATACAGGGGCAGGGGCTCAAGTTTTTTCCAGTCGTTTATACAATATGGTAATTACTGTGAAATTAAAACACAAAGTATTAATAGAAAGGTAATGACTGTCCTGTGTAGGTGACAGTGATATCCAATAGGCTAGGCACTCACGAGGCTGGCTGTGGCAAGTGTAAGTGAAAGCAACACGCACTGGCAGGAAGAACAGCAAACGCCGATGAAGGAAAAGGGTCTTTGCAGTGATGGGCGTTACCAGAGAGGGCGATGGCCAGAGAACACAAATGGGACGGGGAGGCAGCACGTTGGGGGGGGGACGCGACACGGCTCGGGCCCGCCAGTGCCCCAACGGGGTCCTAGTTAGGGCCCGAGCCAGCTGCAGAGCAGCCGGGCGTAGGCCCTATTATTCCCCAAGTGGTTTTTCTTTGTTTCTTTCTTTCTTTCTTTCTTCTTTTTCCTCCCCTTTGAACT